AAAGGGGCCCCCCAAAAATGCTGCTAAAGAATAACGGAAAAAGTTGGTAGATGGATCTATAATTCCTCACAAACGAACACAAAGAGTAGTAGTCACAGAGTAAAGTCCGAGGCAGCACGGTGAAAAGCTCTGTTCCACAAGGCACAGTACTCGCTCCCATCTTGTTTCTCACCCTCATATTTGACATAGACAAGGATGTCACCACAGCACCGTTTTCTTCCTTGCAGATGACACCCGAATCTGCATGACAGTGTCTTCCATTGCAGACACTGCAAGGCTCCAGGTGGACATCAACCAAATTTTTCAATGGGTTTGCAGAAAACAATATGAAGTTCAACGATGAGAAAATTTCAATTACCCGATATGGTAAACACGAGGAAATTAAAACTTCATCAGAGTACAAAAAAAATTTCCCGGCCAAAAAAAGAGCAAAAAACCAAAGCAAAGACCTGGGAGTGATCGTGTCGGAGGATCTCACCTTAAAGGGACCATAACATTGTTATCAATCGCAGCTGCTAGAAAAATGACAGGATGGATAATGAAAAACCTTCAACACTAGGGATACCAAGCCCATGATGACACACTTCAGGTCACTTTTTCTATCTAAGCTGGAATACCTGCACACTAACAGCACCTTCAAGGCAGGTGTGAAATTGCTGACCTAGAAAAGTACGAAAACCTTCAGGGCACACATAACGAGATAAAACACCTCAATTACGGGGACGCTTAAGTTCCTGAACCTGTTTTCCCCCTGGAACCCCGGGTGGGAGAGATACATAATTATATACACCTGGAAAATCCTAGAGGATCTATTTACCGAACTTGCACACGAAAATCACCACAACGAAAGCAAAAGACTTGGCAGACGATGCAACATCCCCCCCAATGAAAAGCAGGGGTGTCACTAGCACGTTAAGAGAAAATTTACAATGTGTAAAGGGGCCCCGAGACTTTTTAACTGCCTCCCAGCATACATAAGGGGATTTTCCAATAGACCCCTGACAGTCTTCAAGCTGGCACTGACAAGCACCTAAAGTCAGTACCTGACCCGCCAGGCGTGGCTCGTACGTTGGATTGCGTGCAGCCAGCAGTAACGCCTGGTTTATCAGCTCTGATCCACCAGGGCCTGGTTACAGACCGGGCTGCATGGGCATTGACCCAGGAACTCTCTCCAAGTAAACACCAGTCAACTAACACCCAGTTACCCATTTTACTGATGGGTGAACAAATTTTCCAGCATTCCAGGGATCGAGCCCCAGGCCTCAGTGTGTGAGCTGAGTGTGCTAACAATTGAGGCTTGGGGGCTTAGTCCCTGGAGCCTTTCGACTTCCACTCACGGGATGTGTGTGGGGTAATTAACAAAGCTCTCAAATTAAATACATGTACTGTAATTGGGTCATGGGCCCCGCAACAACACACAAACAGACCAGGGAATGACTTGGGACCCGCCTACCAAGGGCTAGTAGACCTGTTGCAGTGCTCCTTATTCTTATGTTAATTAATTAAACATGGATGTAGTGTGCACAATAAAGCTATCAAACCAAGGGTTTGATCCTTACACAGGTGGAGATGTGGGCGTCTTTCCCCTACATCTGTTGCCGCTGTTTACCAAGCAGTAAATGGTTAAGTGTTACTAGACTAGTTGTTGGCATCCTGGGAAAGAGTACCAAATAACTACAATAGCAATAAGCCATGTAGTATTGGTAACTATATAAAATATGTGTACCTGCAAGATGAAAGAAAGACACAAGTGTGGTTTTATGGAAGTTTTTATTGAAAACCCGTTTCACCCATGCAGGAACCTCATCTAGAAACTAGTCAAATACAGGTCATATCTGTGATCTGCTAGTCACTGCATGTCAACACATCATCAATGAAGCTTCGATATAACTGCACTTATGTCTATTTCCAAAAAAAACTTCACTTACTATGTAGTTACTTTGTGCCACCTGAGCGGCTAGTTTATTGTGCACTTGTAATTCATCCTGTGAGTGGTAGCTCCCATTATTTAGGTATTACAGTCATATAATACATTTTCTTCATATACCTAATCATTTCCCTTATGCAAAATGTGGATACAATCTCAGTAATTCAGATATCTTATTAACAACAAAGCTCTTAGCCACTTCCTTTAGGGGTTTGTTTAAAAGTGTCTAAATCTTTAAATGGTTGGACGCTATAAGATAAAAGTGTGGCCCAGTCTTCATCCACCCACTACATTTTATGTGACTGACATCTTCAAACAAACTGAACTGTCAAAGATACTTATACACTAACCTTAGTCTAGCAGTGACAACATCTGTTAGTGTTAGTTAAAACATCCTTCAATTATTTCTGAAGGTATATCTGGTAAGCTTTGCAACTGTAGTCATTAGGATATAGGCTGACTACAATAACAAAAAAGTTGCTTCAAAGCTATATGAACTGCAACACTGTAAGGAAGATACCAAATGAAATGGATACCAATTACAGCTAGACGACAAACCTGGTAAGTAAAATTGTGAACCTCTGCTATAGTGTCAACGATGCGCTTGTCAAGGCAGTCCTCCATCGCTAGGGGGTGAGTGGAGTTGCCTGAGGAGTATTGACTGAAGGGAGGGAAGTCGAGTGCCACAGCTCTGTGACGAACAGGGTAGGATGAGTGAAGTGATGGATAGACAGAGGGAGAAACGAATAGGAGGAATTGACAAAGGCCAAAGAGAGAGGGAAGGGGACCCCAGTGAAAATGCTCACATTATATGACTAGTAAAGTAAGTAAAATCTACATAGTACAGTACATTTTATGTGCCTATAACACACGTGCCCTCACGACCATTGTAAAAAAATACTGTATGCCATATACATGAAACCTAGATAAAACTTAATGATATATGAAGGGCACAGAAGGAAAGATGAAGGAAGGAGTATGTAAAAAAAAACATTCAGCATAATTAGTACACTGTCAATATCAGTGCGATTAACTATTAGCATTATTACCATCACCTTTATTACAGTCATTAGTATTACCATCAACACTATCATCGTTGACATCAACACCACTCAAGTTTGGCTTCAAAGTACATTGTAAGAAAATTAGTTATACTTCCCTAACAATACTTGAGAGCTAATACTGTACCTCCATGATAATACTTGAAAGCTACTCCCTCCATGATAATACAGTGGACCCCCGGTATTCGATGGCATCGTTTTCAATAAATCTGGTATTCGATGCATTTTAACGCAAAAATTTTGCTTCGTATCCGATTGAAAACCCGGTATTCGATACGATTAGTACGAGATGTGTCCACATGTGACCTGAACTGCCCTGTGTGTGCCAAATGTTTACAAGCCAGCCAGTGTGTGCATATCTAAGGATACATTTGGTACATTCCATATTATCACTGTTTTTGGTGCTTGTTTCTGCAAAATAAGTCACCATGGGCCCCAAGAAAGCCCTTTTATGCCAACCCTGTGGGAAAAAGGGGAAATTAGTATGGAAATTAAGAAAGATTTTTAAGGGTTTGGGCTAACCCTGAGAAGCCTATGCCAGTTGTGGAATCCATTGTGCCTACTTCAAAAATTAAGGAAATGTGTGCACAGTGGGTTGAACTGCAAACCTTTTATGGATGAAAATCACCCTAACACAGCTATTGCAAGCGTGCTGGTGACTATTACAATGACAATGTTGTGGCCCATTTTAGACAAATCGTAAAGGAAAGGGGGGTACAGAGCTCCCATGACAGATTTTTGTGCGACAGAGGTCCAGAGACTCTCAAGCGGTCCTAGTGGCATTAAAAGAAGAAGGGAAGTAACCCCGGAAAAGGACTTCCTACCTAAAGTCCTAATGGAAGGGGATTCCCCTTCTAAACACTAACCCCCATCCACACTCCCCCTCCTCCCATCCCTCAATCATCACCAGACCTTTAATAAAGCAATAAAGGTAAGTGTTTTGTAACTGTGTATGTCTTCTTCAGTTTGTGTGTATTAAAATTAATATTTCATGTGGTAAAAATTTTTTTTTTTCATACTTTTGGGTGTTTTTGCACGGATTACCTGGAGTTTACCTGGAGAGAGTTCCGGGGGTCAACGCCTCCGCCCCCCGGTCTGTGACCAGGGCCTCCTGGTGGATCAGAGCCTGATCAACCAGGCTGTTGCTGCTGGCTGCACGCAAACCAATGTACGAGCCACACCCGGGTGATCAGGAACTGACTTTAGGTGCTTGTCCAGTGCCAGCTTGAAGACTGCCAGGGGGCTGTTGGTAACCCCCTTATGTGTTTCTGGGAGGCAGTTGAACATCTCGGGCCCCTGACACTTATTGTATGGTCTCTAACGTGCTAGTGACACCCCTGCTTTTCATTGGGGGGATGGTGCATCGTCTGCCAAGTCTTTTGCTTTCGTAGTTGAGTGATTTTTCGTGTGCAAGTTCGGTAAATAGTCCATCTAGAATTTTCCAGTTTTATATAATCATGTTCTCTCCCTCCTGCGTTCCAGGGGAAAACAGGTTTAGGGAAACCCCAACGCTCCCAGTAATTGAGGTGTTTTTATCTCCGTTTTGGGGCGCCTTGAAAGTTCTCTGTACATTTTCTAGGTCGGGAATTTCACCTGCCTTGAAAGATGCTGTTAGTGTGCAGCAATATTCCCGCCTAGATAGAACAAGTGACCTGAAGATGTCATCATTGGCTTGGCCTCCCTAGTTTTGAAGGTTTCCCTTATCCATCCTGTCATTTTCTAGCAGATCAATTGATACAATGTTATGGTCCTTGAAGGTGAGAACCTCCGACATGATCACTCCCAGGTCATTGACGTTGGTGTTTCGCTCTATTTTGTGGCCCCAAAATTTTTTTTGTACTCTGATGAGATTTAATTCCTCATGTTTACCATATCTGAGTACTAATTGAAATTTCTCATCGTTGAACTTCATATTTTTTTCTGCACCCACTGAAAGATTTGGTTGATGTCCGCCTTTGGGGCCCTTGCAGTGTCCGCAATGGAAGACACTGTCATGCAGATTTGGTGTCATCTGCAAAGGAAGACACGGGTGCTGTGGCTGACATCCTTGTCTATGCGGAATGAGGATGAGGAACAAGATGGGAGCGAGTACTGTGCCTTGTGGAACAGAGCTTTTCACCGTAGCTGCCTCGGACTTTACTCTGTTGACGACTACTCTCTGTGTTCTGTTAGTGAGGAAATTATAGATCCATCGACCGACTTTTTCCTGTTATTCCTTTAGCACGCATTTTGTGCGCTATTATGCCATGGTCACACTTGTCGAAGGCTTTTGCAAAGTCTTTTTATATTACATCTGCATTCTTTTTGTCTTCTAGTGCATTTAGGACCTTGTCGTAGTGATCCAATAGTTGAGACAGACAGGAGCGACCTGTTCTAAACCCATGTTGCCCTGGGTTGTGTAACTGATGGGTTTCTAGATGGGTGGTGATCTTGCTTCTTAGGACCCTTTCAAAGATTTTTATGATATGGGATGTTAGTGCTATTGGTCTGTAGTTCTTTGCAGTTGCTTTACTGCCCCCTTTGTGGAGTGGGGCTATGTCTGTTGTTTTTAGTAACTGTGGGACGACCCCCGTGTCCATGTTCCCTCTCCATAGGATGGAAAAGGCTCGTGATAGGGGCTTCTTGCAGTTCTTGATGAACACGGAGTTCCATGAGTCTGGCCCTGGGGCAAGAGTGCATGGGCATGTCATTTATCGCCTGTTCGAAGTCATTTGGTGTCAGGATAACATCAGATAGGCTTGTGTTAATCAAATTTTGTGGCTCTCTCATAAAAAATTCATTTTGATCTTCGACTCTCAGTCTGGTTAGCGGCTTGCTAAAAACTGAGTCATAATGGGACTGAGTAGCTCACTCATTTCCTTGCTGTCATCTGTGTAGGACCCATCTTGTTTAAGTAGGGGCCCAATACTGGACGTTGTTCTCGATTTTGATTTGGCATAGGAGAAGAAATACTTTGGGTTTCTTCGATTTCATTTATGGCTTTTAGTTCTTCCCGCGATTCCTGACTCCTAAAGGATTCTTTTAGCTTAAGTTCGATGCTTGCTATTTCTCTGACCAGTGTCTCCCTACGCATTTCAGATATATTGACCTCTTTTAGCCGTTCTGTTATTCTTTTCCGTCGCCTGTAAAGGGAGCGCCTGTCTCTTTCTATTTTACATCTACTCCTCCTTTTTCTTAGAGGAATAAGCCTTGTGCATACATCGAGTGCCACCGAGTTAATCTGTTCTAGGCATAAGTTGGGGTCTGTGTTGCTTAGTATATCTTCCCAGCTTATATCGGTTAGGACTTGGTTTACTTGGTCCCACTTTATGTTTTTGTTATTGAAGTTGAATTTGGTGAATGCTCCCTCGTGACTAGTCTCATTATGTCGGTCTTATGGGGAAAATTGATTCGCTTTTCGATATTTTCGGTATTCGATGAGCTCTCAGGAACGCATTAATATCGAATACCGGGGGTCCACTGTACTTTAAAGCTAATACATCCATGCTAATACTTGAAAGCTAATACCTCCATGCTAATACTTGAAAGCTAATACCTCCATGATAATACTTGAAAGCTAATACCTCCATGATAATACTTGAAAGCTAATACCTCCATGATAATACTTGAAAGCTAATACCTCCATGATAATACTTGAAAGCTAATACATCCAAGCTAATATTTTCAATTCAAAGTTTATTCTCTATAAGGATTACAATGCTGAGTTTACAGAAATTTGGTTATTGTTTGGTTTAACATGTAGTAAAATTGAGATTACAGAGTGTACCACTAGAACGCTTAGCATGGCTAGGCATTTCGGGCATACTTAGTTTTATTCTTAATATTACAAATTATGAGGTAAGTTGGTATTATGGCTAAGTGACTAAATACTATTTTGTGAGTTTAGCAGTGTGAATGCTTTTGTTTTGGCACAGTATATAGTTTCAGTATTGGAGTATCACAGGATTCATTATATTAAGACTGAGATTAATATTTCTGTTTATGGTCAAATGGGTGTGTGCGAGTATTGAAAGCTAATACTTCCATGCTAATACTTGAAAGCTAATACTTCCATGCTAATACTTGAAAGCTAATACCTCCATGATAATACTTGAAAGCTAATACATCCATGCTAATACTTGAAAGCTAATACCTCCATGCTAATACTTGAAAGCTAATACCTCTACTTCCATGCTAATACTTGAAAGCTAATACCCCCATGATAATACTTGAAAGCTAATACATCCATGCTAATACTTGAAAGCTAATACCTCCATGCTAATACTTGAAAGCTAATACCTCCATGCTAATACTTGAAAGCTAATACCTCTACTTCCATGCTAATACTTGAAAGCTAATACCCCCATGATAATACTTGAAAGCTAATACCTCCATGCCAACACTTGAAAGCTGTTTCAAAGCTAACACTGAGCACAACTTTTTACTATGTGTTAGTCAAGCGACGAGTCAGGGTAAACCATAACACCGTAAGAAATGTACAAATAACCCACAGTCAACAATACTGAAATAACAGGAATATTTTCGGTCTAGCTAGTGAGCATGACTCAACAATCACCAACTCACTTGAAGATGTGGCCGTTGCAGTCTTGGTACAGGTCAGGGAAGAGGTCAGAGTGATTTTGAAAGCCACGTCCAGGACTCCAGCGGTTGCGAAGGATGATCTCGGGTTCTCCTCTCCGACAGAAAGGACAGTTAGCTGCGAGGAGCCACATGCTTTGACTGCTAAAGCTTCTAACTGTATCAGTGTTATTATATGCTAATAAGTATGTTAATAAGACACAATATACGCAATGCAACATCTTATTAAGAGGGGACAAGATCCGGGCCGGGACCACGCCGGCGAACCACTCAACTCTTCCTCATATACATCAATGACCTCCCAAACGTATGATCCACTTAATACACGTATTTGTATTTATAACTCATTACAATTGTGACCAGGTGTGGACGTATCAGTGGTTCATTACTTCGTAATTTGCTCATGACTGTAACCATGTATAGGAGTGAAGCTGATTCATTACCTCTGTAACTTGCCATGATTGTGACCAGACTTACCTGGAGTTCATTACCTTTGTAAATTGTGAGTTCATTACCTTTGTAAATTGTGAGTTCATTACCTTTGTAAATTGTGAGTTCATTACTTCTGTAACTTGCTCAGCTATCAAAACTTTGGAGTCCAGTCCCTGGACCAATTATGTACCTCTGTAATCTTTTGACTACCGCCCACAGGATGGGTATGGGGTGCATAATAAACATATTAAACTAAACTAACCAAACGTATCCCAACACCTGAAACCCATTCTCTTTGCTGATGACACGACTTATGTCATCTCTCACCCTAATCTTGCCACCCTCAATACCATTGTGAATGAGGAGCTGATTAAAATATCGACTTGGATGACAGCCAATAAACTTACGCTTAACACTGACAAAACCTACTATATTATGTTTGGTAGCAGAGCAGGAGATGCACAAATTAACATTAAGATTGACAACACTCTAATTACCAGAAATAATGGGGGAAAATTCCTAGGCTTATACCTTGACAACAACCTGAATTTCAGCACCCATATCCAGCATATAGCCAAAAAAGTATCCAAAACGGTTGGGATCCTCTCCAAGATACGATACTACGTGCCGCAAAATGCCCTTCTCACACTATACCACTCACTTATTTATCCATACCTCACCTATGCTATTGTGCTTGGGGATCAACTGCAGCAACACACCTAAAGCCAATAATACCCAACAAAAAGCTGCAGTAAGAATAATCACTAAATCCCATCCCTGGCAACACCCCCCCCACTCTTCATAGACTTAAACTTACTCCCAGTTCAGTACATCCACACTTACTACTGTGCAATCTACATCTACAGGGCCTTAAACTCTAATATCAACCTTGACCTAAAACGCTTTCTTGATAGTTGTGACAGAACCCACAGGCATAACACCAGACACAAACATCTCTACGACATTCCCCATGTCCGACTAAACCTTTACAAAAATTCAATGTATGTCAAAGGCCCTAAAATCTGGAATACCCTACCTGAGAACTCTAGAACTGCAGACACATTCATCACCTTCAAAACTACCATTAGAAAACATATCTCCCTGATACACCCCGTCAACTAACTACACGAATACCACCTGGTGGTTCACACTTACACTCACTCACTCATTTGACCATAAACAGAAATATTAATCTCAGTCTTAAAATAATGAATCCTGTGATACTCCAATACTGAAACTATGTACTGTGCCAAAACAAAAGCATTCACATTGCTAAACTCACAAACTAGTATTTAGTCACTTAGCCATAATACCAACTTACCTCATAATTTGTAATATTTTACAATTAAGAATAAAACTAAGTATGCCCGAAATGCCTAGCCATGCTAAGCGTTCTAGTGGTACACTCTGTAATCACAATTTTACTACATTTAAACCACACAATAACCAAATTTCTGTAAACTCAGCATTGTAATCCTTATAGAGAATAAACTTTGAATTTGAATTTGAATTATTATAATCATGGATGAGCGCTAAACCCGTAGGATTATACAGCGGGTGAGGGGGTGGATGGAAGGTATTCGGGCTCAATTCAGGGAACCGGAGCACAGATCCAATTCCCTAGATCAAGAGCTCCTCACCAGCATCAAGGAACCTCCCTGGAGGGGAACTATTAATTAAGAAGACGTGAGGATGTTATACCTGGAGAGAGTTCCGGGGGTCAACGCCCCCGCGGCCCGGTCTGTGACCAGGCCTCCTGGTGGATCAGAGCCTGATCAACTAGGCTGTTACTGCTGGCTGCAAGCAATCCAACGTACGAGCCACAGCCCGGCTGGTCAGGTACCAACTTTAGGTGCTTGTCCAGTGCCTGCTTGAAGACTGCCAGGGGTCTATTGGTAATTCCCCTTATGTATGCTGGGAGGGTGGGTGGGTGGAGCAACATATTATAAGGAATTATTCGAAAATAATTGAAAGGGGTTTGGCATAGTTTTACTTATTCGTTGCTCGAGTGTGCAGTCGAAGATTCCCTACCACTACTCGGGGTGAAATTTTCCTTATTAGCCAAATTATTATATTAATATTATTATAAATATCATTCGGAATACAAACAGAGCAGGTGAAGGGCCCAAGACGTGGGTTTCTTGGTATCGTGGTGTTGGTTAGGGCTCACATAGAGGGTGTTTGAAGAAGCAAGCAACAAAGGTTCCTCCTCTAGGGCCCTCAAGCTCAGACTCCTCCCAGTGTAACACACGAAGTACTTGGTGGCGCCCTTGAACCAGTCTGCTCATAGGGATAGAGGGCAGGGCAGTGGTACAGAGGGAGGTAAAGCACAAGATGGAGAGAGAAAAAATATTAGTTCCTGACCAGGGTAGGTAGATACATATAGTTTTAGAAACACTTTTATGTGTGTAGAGCTCAAATTATCAGCCATTCCTCAATTTATTTATTTTTACTGGTTTCTAGATCATTTTTTACATCAGTTGTATTTATACTTAAAGGAAATCGCCCAACAAGATGCAGTTCATAAATTTTTAATTCAAGGAAAAATACGGAGATTAACGAGAAATCGTGCTTGCGGAAATCTATCTTCTTTGCTAATGTACAGGTTATAAAAAACTAGGCTGGAGTACAGTTATGTAGTGTCTACCTCTCGATTAGCACACAAATTTCCCAAGCCTCTGCCTCTTCTTGTTCTGAATGAGCCCACACGGGCACAGCTCTGATCATAAATATAACATTCTGCTAACTTACTTGTTTTGGGAATGGTTGGAAGAGCCAGAGCGAGGAAGGTGACTGGAGCAAGGATATAGTAAGCGACACAGTACGTTCCATCGGAGTGTGTGGGAGGGTGACGGAGAAGGGGTACCTGGGGCGGGGAACTCTTCAGGAAGGTCTCTACGTCGTAGAGCAGAAAGGTTTGTGTCATGGTTTGCTGCAGCTGCCGGAGGTCAATTTGGCTTATTCGATTAGCTGTGACCCGTAAGATAACATTTGCTTTAAACGAATGCAATTAAAAATTTGAAGTATATCATACCACCCACTCCATGGATTTAGACCACCACTACCCACAGTATGGAATTGAGCTGCTATTCACAGCACGGATTAACAAATCAAACTACAACATATTTGTAGCATTGTAGCTCCAAGTAACTCTTACAGCAATAAGAACACTATAAAGATGAGGTGAATCAGGAACCCGTGTGAGAATGATGGAATGACAGGCAGCTAGCCGGCCGCCAGCCACCTCCCCAAAGAGACCAACAACGTCTTCCTGCTGCTGCTCTCCTGGAGGAGAATGGAACCAGGGAACACCCAGAGCAGTGGCAGATGGCAATTTCCTCACCAGCGCCACCAGCACAACTACAGCTGCCATTCTGATGCTCACCTGAAAAACACAGTTTCAGAATTGCTGTACTAAGAAGTTATCTTTAAAGCCTATCAACTACTAAACTGCCACACCACTACATTGCCACACTGCCAATCTGTCACACCACTATACTGCGTCTGCCACACTTCTAAACTGCCACACCACTACACTGCCACACTAATAAACTGCCACACCACTACACTGCCACACTACTAAACTGCCACACCACTACATTACCACACTACTAAACTGTCACACCACTACATTGCCACACTACTAAACTGCCACACCACTGCACTGCCACACTACTAAACACACGATTACACTGCCACACTATTAAACTGCCACACCACTACACTGCCACACTACTAAACTGTCACACCACTGCATTGCCACACTACTAAACTGTCACACCGCTACACTGTCACACTACTGAAACTGTCACACCATTGCACTGCCACATTACTAAAACTGTCACACCATTACACTACCACACTACTAAAACTGTCACGCCATTACACTGCCACACTACTAAAACTCTCACCACTACACTGCCACACTACTAAACTGCCACACCTCTACACTGCCACACTACTAAAACTGTCACAACCATTACACTACACCTACTAAAACTGTCAACCATTACACTGCCACACTACTAAACTGCCACACCATTACACTGCCACACTACTAAAACTCACACCATTACACTGCCACACTACTAAAACTGTCACCACAGGTTTAGAAAGATACGTAAGCAAACACTATGACATATTTATTAGAAAACGTTTCGGTCCTGGGACCTTGATCACTTCTGTTAGAAGTGATCAAGGTCCCAGGACCGAAACGTTTTCTAATAAATATGTCATAGTGTTTGCTTACGTGTCTTTCTAAACCAACTTGTCGGTATTTGTTTCCAAAGTTTATACTGTCACCACTACACTGCCACGCTACTAAACTCACAACACTACACTGCCACACTACTAAACTGCCACACCACTACACTGCCACACTACTAAACTGTCACACCACTACACTGCCACACTACTAAACGGCCACACCACTACACTGCCACACTACTAAAACTGTCACACCACTACACTACCACACTACTAAACGGCCACACCACTACACTGCCACACTACTAAACTGCCACACCACTACACTGCCACACTACTAAACGGCCACACCACTACACTGCCACACTACTAAAACTCACACCACTACACTGCTACACTAAATGCCACACCACTACACTGCCACACTACTAAACTGTCACACCACTACACTGCCACACTAAAACTCACACCACTACACTGCCACACTACTAAACTGTCACACCACTACACTGCCACACTACTAAAACTGTCACACCACTACACTGCCACACTGCTAAAACTGTTACACCACTACACTGCCACACTATTAAAACTGTCACACCCACTACACTGCCACACTACTAAAACTGTCACAACCACTACACTGCCACACTACTAAAACTGTCACACCACTACACTGCCACACTACTAAAACTGTCACACCACTACACTGCCACACTACTAAAACTGTCACACCACTACACTGCCACACTACTAAAACTGTCACACCACTACACTGCCACACTAAAACTGTCACACCACTACACTGTTATACTACTAAAACTGTCACACCACTACACTGCCACACTACTAAAACTGTCACACCACTACACTGTTATACTACTAAAACTGTCACACCACTACACTGCCACACTACTAAAACTGTCACACCACTACACTGCCACACTAAAACTGTTACACCACTACAGTTCCATACTACTAAAACTATCACATTACACTGGACTAACGCTATTCCATGATCTTCACTACAATATCAGGTAATATCTAACACTTTATTGATCTTCACCACAATGGAAATAAGTCACTCTGACTTTTTTCTGTTATCCCAGGTTCTCTACACATATGCTGCTATGTATGATAATCTCTGTAACTGTATTTGTGTATACCTGAATAAACTTACTTACTTAACTGACTCTAGTGATATTCACTACAATATCTGACTAGTGATATTCACTACAATATCTGACTAGTGATCTTCACTACAATATCAGGTAATATCTAACACTATTGATCTTCACTACAATAACTGACCCTAGTGATATTCACTACAATATCTAACTATTCTATCTTCACTATAATATCTGACTAGTGATTATTAGTACTATAATCATAAAGCGCTAAACTGACTAGTAATATTCACTACAATATCTGACTCTAGTGAACTTTAGTATAATATCTTACTAGTCTTCTTGACTATAATATTTGACTAGTGATTATTAGTATTAATCAAAAGCACTAAAAACTAAACTAGTGATCTTCGTGATATTTAGGTTCCCTGACTAATTTATCTTGACCTTCACTTTATTTAATTGATAAAGTGTATTATTGCCTTTAAATAAGATTAGTATTCACTATATTTATAGTTATTTTATATATAACCTAGTATCATCAGCTCACCGCAGTTATACATGTGTGTGATTTTTTTTTATTATAATGTGTTGTACTTGGAGGAGGAAACTATGGAACCAGAAACAGTGTTAGGGCTTCGTGGGTTATCTAAAACACTAAGGCAGTGAAGGTGTTTGGGCATCGTAAGTACGGGTCTGTGGTGATACCTACACTCGACCCTTGATGCCTGATGGATCACTTAGCGGTGAATGTTACGTCAAAGTATGAGAATGATGAATGACAGCTCAGCTATTGGAGAAGGGCGAACTTTGATCAACGATGTAGGTAGTGAACGTTCATTTGCTAAGCGCAAAACAAACCTGACAAAGTAGCATTCCACCTGTATTTTTACAGAAAAACAGAAGATCCTGCACTATCTTAAGCCAACAGAAGTCCAGCCCCCGTCCTACAATCCAAACAGAAGTTGCTCTGTTGAACAGGGTTGACCCATTTCTCAAAAAAACGTAATAAGTTCTTACGATAATGAGATTCACTTCTTAGCAATCCGATCTTCGTAAGGCCACAAAACTTACCTCGATTAGAATTGATAATTAAAATCCCACCTCTCCTTCCCCTCAAAATACTGTCCGGAACAAAAATTTCATCAAAAATTTACCAGAAAATTTTCTAACGGACACCAGTATTATAGAAGTTTTTAAGAAGTTTGGGGAAAATCAACATGGTGTGGACTTAAAACAGGAACCACCTTTGGGTTTATTATATTTAATGAAGAAAAGTCTGCCGTACGCCAGTATCTCATGAGCCACATATCGTGACAGTAAAGGAAATCTATAGTTAGAGTTGCCTGAAGTCTAAAAAGTAGCAGAGTCGTCACAATCTTTGTGGGAGGCTTAAACAAGTTTGTGGATGATGTAAAATGAGCGATGCTCTCGGTCTGTTTGCACTGTCGTCAAACGTCACGCGAGAGGGGACCATTACACTTTTATGTGGTCACTTTTTCCTCAGAAGAAGTTGCGATTAAAGCCTTCTCGATGGTTTCATGACCGTTAATGGACGCCGGCTCTTCTTAAAAACCAACAACCTGACACCTGAGTCAAAAAACAACTTATTGCGGTCAGTTGTCGGAGGAAAGAATTTTAAGAGGTGAGCGTAGAGGGAGGGGTAAGCAGTGGTGAGGTTTTAAGAGTATAAGGTGATGTAAAGCTTTCAGTTAGAGGATGAGTGTGCGAGGGAAGCTGGGAGGTTGAGTATAAAGGAAAGGGAACAACGAGATAATGTTTGACGAGAATAGGTTAGGATGTCCAGACAAAGCAAACGTTTTTTTAAGTTTGGGAGTATAGCTTGAAAACAGGTAAGGTGGACGCAAAACAGTTATAGTTAGCATATACACAGACTCAAGAGATTTCAAGAAATTTTGTTCATTAAACCGAGGAATACTTTAAGTTCAATAGAATATGGAAAGTCTGTTTTTTTTTTTTTTTTTTTTTTTTTTTTTTTTTTTTTTTTTTTTTTTTTAGGTAGGGAAGGATGTGTGGATCAATCGTTTACAGGTAAATTAATGAGATTGTAATATAAGTGAATGCTCTTTTGGGCAGGGGGAGAAGGTGTTGACTTAAAATATGGTAAAAAAAATAAAGTGAGGATATTAAACATTTTCTGTCTTGTTGATGATGCAGTGTATTCTTGGCTAAGCTGCGATGTGTGCTGAGTCTGCCTCATGATTTAGTAAATAGAGGATCAAGCCTCCACCATTTTATTTTTTTTTTCCTTGGGCGTTAAATAAACAGAGAGGTTTTAGAACATCATTACAGTTTTTAAATGAAATTATAATAGATTTCTAAGAATAACAAGTTTGGCTTCAAAAGAAAGCCTGAGTAAACAAAAAAGAGAAACAAGATGATGAGAATGAGAAGTGCAAGGGGAGTGAAAGACAACGTCAGTTACAGAGTGGAAGGATGTAGTGGATTGTATTTAGTATACCACATTATTTGACATCCTATCTAGGTCTATTGGGGAATATTAGGGATGTGTGCGTACATTTAGTAATTTTATGAAGGAGGATTGAGAGATAATGAATTTATTACATCCAAATGAAGTGATAAAACTCGCCAGGGGTTATCAGTGTGGTGGCGCACGAAACATGTTGTTTTACCTGTATAGATAACAATATTAGCGGGAGGTAAAGCAACTGTTGTGAGAGAATGGGTGGCTAAAATACAGGTATGAGGATGGGTGCGAAAAGACCTCATGTTTGTCTATATGTTTCTGAATTCATCTTCAGGTTACAGTCAATGTTTAGTATAATCAAGCGTTTGGAGCCATTTTATCTGGTTCAGCAACAATGGTTCAGTGACAGCATGGAAGGAAAAATCTGACCAAAATCAACTTGTTAACCTAGCTTCATGACCTGCTGAGTCTTGATTACCAAACTTCGGCACATTATTGTAGGCTGTGCAGTATATGAAATAGTCAAAATTATTAAACATGAGGACCGATTATACAACAAAAACACACAAAAAGTCTTACGAGTCAAAAACTGAACGTACATTTCTAAATTGACGGTGAAGAGCGAGCTTTAAAGCTGTGGAACTTTACCATGACAGCATCTTGGTAAACACCTGACCCTCTCAGTATGACTTCAGATTTCAAACTTAGAAGCGTTCTTAGCTGACAGAAGTGTAATGCGCATCGTAACGCACTGCTATGCCTTTTCTGACTACGTTTAACTCATATATCACTATGGTTTATTATTCATGAATTAGTCCTTGATCAGTGCCTGGGCTTCAACCATTACTGTGCCAGCTGTTTGGTGTCTTCAATTGTAACAGATATAGCGTCGATCATTCACCTAGGCTAACCTCACTAGATATGGTAATACTATCCTTCTTGGTGGGTATTCAAACGGAATCGTTTTAATATTACACTGATCAGTATGATGACTTTGCTGCCCACATGTGACTGGCTGGTATAATTCCTATGAGTGTTCCTCTGTAGAGACCTTTAACAATGACCTTGTGAGCAGTATTCAGAACTAATTAGAGCCCGCCAATGAAACCTCATGGTACTCT